CCCAGAACTGAAAGTATAATTTAAGAAAAGAAAAAAAGAACAATAGGAAGAAACTAGCAAGTGTTCTAAAAGGCTTGACGGAAAACCAGAAGAGCACAAATGCGTGTGCTGGAAACTGTCAACTCAAAACCCTAAGCCCCCAACCAACTGGGTCATCTCTTCACCAAGGAGACCCCAGAATAACCTTAAAAACAGTCACTGGCCATATAACTCAGTTTATGTAGTTAAAGGATGGGGGATCACACGCCTCTCGTTATCCGCCACCCCCTCCCCCCCCACTAACCACCACGATGCTTTCTTTCCTAAAGGCTAAACAGAAACTGGCCTCTTCAAAAGACTCCACACTGATATCGACCAGCCGCACACCACTGCCCTCCCTTTTCCCCGATAACAGACCAACAACCACCGCGTGGTTCTGGCCCGTCTATAGAGGGAGCACAGTGACGATTTTTGTGTCCTCTGGTTCGGCTTTTAACATCAGAGGGCCAAAACACCACCCTTGGATCATGCTAACAAGGACATTATTTGAACATGGGTCCCATGAAGAAGCAAAAAGCTCAATTGTGCACGTGCATGGTTCCCCTTCAAAAATATTGATGGCTGGGCACATTGGCTGATGCCTATACTCTCAATGCTTTGGGAAGTCAAAACAGGAGGATCACTTGAGCCCAGGAGTTCGAGACCATCCTGGGCAACACAGGGAGATCCCATCTCTACAAAAAAAATTTAGAAAATTACACAGGCTTGGTGGCACATACCTGTGGTCCCAGCCTTTTAGGAGGCTTGGGCCCAAGAGGTCAAGACTGCAGTGAGCCAGTGATCATGCCACTGCACTCCAGCCTGGGGGACAGAATGAAACCCTGTCTCAAAAAAGTAACTAATTAATTATTTTTAAAATTCATGACCCTTCCTATAGCTTATTGAATCTGTGTATTTGGTCACACTGTTCAGCACAGATTCCTGTATTATTCTGCCCACACTCAAAGGGTCTGTTTCCAGCTTCTGGCCAGAGACTACACTTCCCAGCCTGTCAGAATGGCCACCTTGCAGGCTGCAACACTGTATGAGAAATAAACCTCTCTTCTTCCAAATTTATATACCTCATCATTCTTTAGTTGACAAAAAAAAAAAAAAATGTTGAGATGAATTGCAAATGAAGACAAAATATCTTTTTGGCCAAGTGCAGTGACTCCCACCTGTAATCCCAGCTCTTTGGGAGGCTGAGGCAAGAGACCAGCCTAGGCAACATGTCTCTCTCTCTTTTTATTTTTTATTTTTTCCACAGGAGGGAAAAGAGCCCATTAATTCTGCATGGAGATATGACAGACTTTACAAATCTATCAGATCTGTCACTTACCCATAATTTAAAAAGAACAGCAGGCCGGGCGTGGTGTAATCCCAGCACTTTGGGAGGCTGAGGCAGGCAGATTACAGGCACATGCCACCACGCCTGGCTCTGACCAACATGGTGAAACCCCACGTCTACTAAAAATACAATTAGCCAGGCGTGGTGGCATGTGCCTGTAATCTCAGCTATTCAGGAGGCTGAGGCAGGAGATTCACTTGAACCCAGGAGGTGGGGGTTGCAGTGAGCTGAGATTGTGCCACTGCACTCTAGCCAGGGCAACAGAGCAAGAGTCTGTCTCAAAAAAAAAAAAAAAAAAAAAGAACTGCAAAATGGCTCAAGTACAATGAACGGAGCTGGAATCAGACAGCCCAAAGAGTGTGCTATTGACATGGATACCTTCCCACTGTGCTATCGACATGGGTACCTTCCCACTGAGGCACAAAATTTCTTAGACACATTGAGGCCCTTTATTGTGAGTAAGATTTCCTTTTCGTCCTGGGCTGAGGCAGGACTGTGTCTGAGACGAATGACAGGATCCTCTTTACACGCATGTCAATAAAGGCTTTTCTGTGTCATGGCAGATGTGTTTGGGCCACCCTCTGGCAATCCCCAGGTCAGTTCTGTAGTCTCCACTGGTGAGATCTCTGGAAGTCAGGATGCTCTTCCTAGCTCTGGAGAGTGCCCTGCAGGACACCCTGGTAGCCATGTTCTTCGGCAATGCCCACAGTGGCCACCAGCACAAATGCACAATTCCCCAGAGACATTCCTGCAAGGTGCTACATATGTGTGAGTGCCATATGTGATGGTATGCACAGCACAGGAGCATATGGAATTGGAATTTGCAGATCAAATACTCAACAGTGATTCCCATGGGCTCTGATGTGTAATTTTCTAGGGGGGTTTGTTTTTGTGAGGCAGCGCTGGAAGGGCCACAAGAGTCACTCTGTAGGGGTGAAGGGGCCTCACTCTGCCACACACAAGCGTGTCCCTCTAGAAAATTACACGTTCAAAACCCATGCAGATCACCGTTGAGTGGGTTTCTTTTCTTTTCTTTTTGGAGACAAAGTCTCTCTCTGTTGCCCAGGCTGGAGTGCAATGGCACAATCTCAGTTCAGTCAAGATGAAAACTCACAAAGCAGTGTCTTCATCTTGCTTTCTTAAAATGTCTTTTTTTTTTTTTTAATTGAGACAGAGTCTTGCTCTGTTGCCCAGGCAGGAGTGCAGTGGTGTGATCTTGGCTAACTGCAACCTCCGCCTCACTGGTTCAAGCAATTCTCCCTGCCACAGCTTCCTGAATAGCTGGGATTAAAGGTGCCCACCACTACATCCAGCTAATTCTTGTATTTTAGTAGAGAGGGGGTTTCACCATGTTGGCCAGGTTGGTCTCAAACTCCTGACCTCAGGTGATCCTCTGCCTTGGCCTCCCAAAGTGCTGGGATTACAGGTGTGAGCCACAGCACCCAGCCTTATTGCTGAGTGTTTGATCTGCAGATTCCAAGGGTCTGCTCCTCTCCTGAGCGTACCTTCGTGAGGCATTCCTTTACTCCATGTACATTTGCACTTCTTGACTTCTTTTTTGAAGCAGTTATAACATCTGCCTATTTCTCTCTTTAATGAATAAAATAAAATATTTACCACTTTTATATCTGTATAAAAGTCATGATTTCATCTTTTGCTGAAATTTATTTTTTAACACTGTAATCAAACATTCCCTCCCTGACACTGGCAGTCAGAGAAGTAAGAGACAGGTGGTAAAGTGTGGTGGAGTGTGGTTTTCCTGATTTCATGCCCTAAGGATTTAAATAACTCACAAGTCAGACTTCCAGGCACAACGCAGTTCTCCAACAGAAATAGAGAAAACAGATTTTGACAAGCAAAAGGGACCGCTATCGTTGGGATTACAGGATTATAACAAGCAGGGAAGCCTAGGAATACATTCCTGGAAGCTTTAGAAATTTAGTAATGGGGCCGGGTGCTGTCGCTCACGCCTATAATCCCAGCACTTTGGGAGGCAGAAGCGGGCGGATCACGAGGTCAGGAGTTCAAGACCAGCCTGGCCAACATAGTGAAACCCCATCTCTACTAAAAAATACAAAAAATTAGCCGGGCATCGGCCGGGTGCTGTGGCTCAAGCCTGTAATCCCAGCACTTTGGGAGGCCGAGGCGGGTGGATCACGAGGTCAACAGATCGAGACCATCCTGGTCAACATGGTGAAACCCCGTCTCTACTAAAAATTACAAAAAATTAGCTGGGCACGGTGACGCGTGCCTGTAATCCCAGCTACTCAGGAGGCTGAGGCAGGAGAATTGCCTGAACCCAGGGGGCGGAGGTTGCGGTGAGCCGAGATCGCGCCATTGCACTCCAGCCTGGGTAACAAGAGCGAAACTCTGTCTCAAAAAAAAAAAAAATTAGCCGGGCATGGTGGCGAATGCCAGTAATCCCAGCTACTCAGGAGGCTGAGGCAGGAGAATCACCTGAACCAGGGAGTGGAGGTTGCAGTGAGCTGAGATCAGGCCACTGCACTCAGCTTGGGCAACAGAGGGAGACTTTTCTCAAAAAAAAAAAGAAAATTCAGAAATGGAAGCCAAGTGGAAGCTCATCCAGGGTTGGGGGTAACAGAGGACCCCAAGATAACACAGGATGGTGGTGTCTAACAGGAAAGGCATGAGGCTTTTCCTGTGCTGGTCAACACCGCAGGGACTTGCATGATAACTGACTTTCAGTCTTGCTGCAGGGAAGGCCGGGCCAGTACTTATTCTCAGCTGATTCTACAAACATCAAACGTCTCCAAATCTTTATTTTTCAGCAGCCATGCTTGTATTTTCCAAGTGTCTCTGGCTGAGACAGCATGAATTAGGAAGCGGCCTGATGAGCACACACTGGCCTCCGCAGACAGGCCAACCACGGCCCTGTCTTCTGCTTTTTCCCTGGCTGTTCCCAGGCCTGGATAGGATTCCCTGGACACCGGGGGCGGGGGCGGGGGGCTCCCTTCTAACCACTTTATTTGAAATGGGCTTTGAAAACAACAGGTGGCATCTTCCCTCAGCGAGTGGACATAAATCTCAGTGCCCAGTGTTTCCAAGGCCTGCCGACCCACATGGCTGTGGTGTAAACTGTCCAGTCGTTCTTGGCAACACCTACCCAGCATCTAGGATGTCCCACCCTTAGACCCACAGACCCAGCCCCTCCCTTCTAATACCCACCCTAAGGAGAAGCTGTCGAATGTGGATACTGATTTCAATGCGAATATGCTCGGTTTTTTCATAGCTTTATATTAGCAAAACTCTGCAACCAGAACGTCTCACTGTAGGAAGACAGTTACAAGGAGCATTAACGGCATGGAGGAAAGGCTCCTCCGTGCTAAATGGCCAAATCCGGTGCCAGTTTGCATACGGCGTGATTTGCACTATGTCTTTAAAACGTATGGCGAACCCCCTACGGGAAAATACCAGAGTGTAACGGGCGGCTGCTCGGGACGCGTGGGATCGTGCAAGGACAGCGTATCACTTTGAGGAAAGTCAGCCTCTCAGAACGGACGGTGGAAGTTCCCTACCCGTGCAGGCGGCAAAGCCCTTCGTTGCCAGTCAGAACACAAGCGCGAGATCAAGGGAGCGGGGCCCGGGCTCGTGTGGCCCGGGGACGCGCACGTACCTTGTCCCGCGGCCTGAGACTGCGCTGCACCGCGCGGAGGGAGGCCGAGCCGGGAGGAGGCGCGCGGCGCCGGGCAGGACCGCCAGGGGGACGTGGACGCGGCGGCCGAGGGCGCAGGGATCCCGGCGGGGCCAGTGGCTCCACTCGCAGTCGTAGCCTCCAGGAAGAGCCGGAGCCCGGAGGGGGCGGAGAGGAGGAGGAGGGAGGCCCTGGGGGAAGAGAGGTCTGCGAAGTGGGGGAAGGGAAGGCCAGGAGGGAGGGAGGGGCAGTGGGGAGGAGAGGAGAGAAGGGAGGGAGGGAAGTGTGAGGGGAGGGGAAGAAGTGGGGTGATCAGAGGGTGGGGGAGGGAGGAAGAGGGAGGAAAAGGGAGGGAGAGGTGGGAGAGGCTCCAAGGTCAAGAAGTGTGTAGGGAGGGGGAGTGTGAGGGAGGGAGCCGCAGAGGGGAGGGAAGAAGGGAATCGGGAAGCCTGGAGGAAGGAGGCAGGGAGGCCAGGAAAAGGAAGACGGCCAGCCTTCTGTGAGATTTACATGCGTGCCTGGCTTCCAAGACAAGTAACAAGTTGTAAATCAAAATTAAGCTATTTTTTATTTTATTTTATTTTAGAAATAGGGTCTTATTCTGTCACCCAGGCTGGAGTGCAGTGCCACAATCATCGATCACTTCAGCCTCAAACTCCTGGCTTCAAACGAGGTGCTGGGGTTACAGGTGTGGACCACCATGCCCAGCCCCAATTTTCTTTTCTTTTCTTTTTTTTTTTTTTTGAGATGGAGTCTCACTCTGCCACCCAGGCTGGAGTGCAGTGGCACGATCTTAACCTCACTGCAACCTCTGCCTCCCAGATTCAAGTGATTCTCCTGCCTCAATCTCCCCAGTAGCTGAGGTTACAGGCACGTGCCACCACCCCTGGTTAATTTTTATATTTTCAGTAGAGACGTAGTTTTGCCACGTTGGCCAGGCTGGTCTCAAAATCCTGACCTTAAATGTTTCACCTGCTTCAGCCTCCCAAAGTGCTGGGATTACAGGCGTGAGCCACCAAATTTGGAGCCAGCCCAGCTCCAAATTAAGCTTTTTCAAAAAAAAGACATTAATACACGTTTCATACTTGCCTCTTCCTTCATATTTTGTCTGGTCATCTGACCAAGATTATGATAACAGCTTCAGCTTGGCTACAGAAGCACGCCTGTGGCTCACCCAAACTGGAAACATACAGGCAAAGGGAATTCTAGGAACATAGCTCATCCTGGACAAATGGGCGCATTACCAAGCCATTGCACCATGTGGCCATACTTCCTGCCCTCCCTTCTGCAAAGGTGTTGTTATGGACTGAACGTTTGTGGTTTGTGTCCCCTCCCAAATTTGGATGTTGAAATCCTAACCCCTAGTATGGTGGTATTTGGAGGTGGGGTTTTGGGAGATGCTTAGGTCATAAGGGTGGAGTCCCCAAGGATTTGTGCCATTGCAAAAAGAGACAAGGGAGCTTGCTTCCTCATCTGTATGCCAGGAAGAGGACACTCTGAGAACCCAATCCTGCTGGCACCCCAATTCAGACTTCCAACTTCCAGAGCTATGAGAAATAAATGTTGTTTAAGCTACTCAAGTCTATCTATGGTGTTTTTTGTTTTGTTTTCTTTTGTTATTTGAGACAGTCTTGCTCTGTTGCCCAGCCTCTGTTACAGTGGCGCAGTCTCAACTCACTGCAACCTCCGCCTCCTGGTTCAAGCAGTTCTCCTGCCTCAGCCTCCCAAGTAGCGGGGATTACAGGCATGTGCCACCATGCCTGGCTACTTTTGGTATTTTTAGTAGAGACGGGGTTTCACCATGTTGACCAGGCTGGTCTTAAAACTCCTGACCTCAGGTGATCCTCCCGCTTCAGCCTCCCAAAGTGCTGGAATTATAGGTGTGAGCCACCGCGCCCAGCCTGGTGTTTTTGTTATAGCAGTCCAAACGAACTAAAGCAGGGTGTTCCTGCTAGAGATACACTAATTTTCTTTCACACAGGATCTTTCAAAATCCATTCTGAAACATCTGCAGTTGAGTTATTTTACGAGCTTGAAATTTCTCTAAAATAATAGGTAGGGATTTTTAAAACACCAGAATAATTGAAAAAAAAAATGGAGACAGGCTCTCACTCTGTCACCCAGACTGGAGGGCAGTGGCACAATCATGGCTTACTGTAGCCTCTACCTCCCTAGGCTCAGGTGATCCTCCCACCTCAGCCTCCTAAGTAGCTGGAACTATAGGCATGTGCCACCACACCCAGCTATGTTTTTTTTTTTTAAGAGATGGGCTTTTGCCATGTTGCCCAGGCTGCAGAAAAATTCTTCTTTCCATCCTACAATGCACAAACTGCTTATGACATCCAAAAAGGCAATCTTTCAACTTCACCAATTTTAGTGCCAAATTCCACAGAACATTTATCACATAAAAGTGAATATTTAACCTAGGCTCTTAAAAAATTCAGCTTCCTTCTTCTAGAAATGCTCAGTGGAAACGAACACTAAGATTTCATGGAGTTCCCTATAAATTGAAGAGCTATGACTCAGCATTTGCTGCTCATTATCCCTCCAAAGTTAGTTTTATTTTTCATTATTAAATAAGTAACTAAATTCCAAGGACAGAATGAGTCCAAGCTGAATTAATAAATGAGGCAAGATCAAATTTAAACAAAATTACTGACTCTGTTCAAACCCCTGTGATTTACACTGACCTTGAAGGCAAGGTCAGGAAAAGTATTCCATGGAATTGTTCCTCTAAAGACACTTGGAACAAAATCAGAACAAGTGCTGCTGTGTTTCAGAACGTCTCAAAATAATAACAGGGCAAACATATTCTGTTATCTGTTACCATTTCCTGGCTGTATGGCTGACTCAGCCTCCAGCCCTCCTCTCCTCAGTGCAGCTGCAGGGATCCTGCCGGGAAAGAGCTGAATCCTGTGCACAGGGCAGGCACTGCTGGTGAAGACAGGTGAGAGGCTGGGTAGTTGATTTCTAGAAGGTTCTTGAGCACCAGTCGGCCATCTTGTCATCCCCAGGTAGAAAGCTTAAATTTTCTTTTTTCTTTCTTTTGTTTACTTTGTATTAATGGAAATGTACAAATATATAGAAAGGTAGAAAAAGAATACAATTAATTCCCATATACCCCAGGCCTAAATATAATTATCTTTAATATTTTGCTAAACTTGCTTCATCATTTTTTTTTGAAAGCATGGCAATTATAGACAACCTGACATTTCACCCCCTAATAATTTGGTAGTAGTCGACCTCCAAGATGACCCATAATGTGCCCTGCCTCTGAGAATTCACAGCTCTGTAGAAAACAGACTTAGTGGTGGTGCATTAGTCCACTTTCATGCTGCCGATAAAGACATACCCGAGACTGCGCAATTTACAAAAGAAAGAGGTTTAATGGACTTACAGTTCCACGTGGCTGGGGAGGCCTCACGAGCATGGTGGAAGGCAGGGAGGAGCAAGTCACATCTTACACAGATGGCAGCAGGAAAGGTGAGCTTGTGCAGGGAAACGCCTTCCTATAATACGATCAGGTCTCGTAAGACTGTCACGAGAACAGCACGGGAAAGACCTGCCCCCAGGCTGGGTGCCCTGGCTCTTTGGGAGGCTGATGCGGGTGGATCACTTGAGGTCAGGACTTTGAGATCAGCCTGGCCAACATGGTACTAAAATGCAAAATACAACATGTACTAAAAATACAAAAAAGTAGCTGGGCATGGTGATGGGTGCCTATAATCCCAGCTACTCAGGAGGCTGAGGCAGGAGAATCCCAGAATCCAGGAGGAGGAGGTTGCAGTGAGAGGAGATCACGCCACTGCACTCCAGCCTGGGCAGCAAGAGTGGAACTCCACTGCCCACATGATTCAGTTACCTCCCACCAGCTACCCCCGTAACACAAGGGAATTCAAGATGAGATTTGGGTGGGGACACAGCCAAACTATATCAAATGTTATGTCTCCTCCAACACTAGATTAGAGGAGGCTCTGGGACTTCCCCTTCTCTCTTCTCTGTCTCTCTCTCTCTCTCTGTGTGTGTGTGTGTGTGTGTGTGTGTATGTGTCTGTGTGTGTATGTGTGTGTCTGTGTGTGTGTATGTCTAGCTTTCTCTCTCATCACATGCTCTAGGGGAAGTCAGCTGCCAACCATGGCTTCAGTAGCCTCTGGAGTAAAGAAATCTGTGACCCACAGTCATGTTCCTGGACCATCCTAGACAAGAATCCTCTAGCCCCAGCCAAGTATCAGATGCTATAAACCCAACACTTTGAGGTGCCAAAGCAGGAGGATCACTTGAGCCCATGAGTTTAAGACAAGCCTGGTCAAGGTAGTGAGACTCTGCCTCTACAAAAAAGGTGAAAATGTAGCTGGGTGTGGCAGTGCATGCCTGTAGTCCCAACTACTTAGGACTGAGTGGTAGGATTGCTTGAACAAAGGAGTTCAAGAGCAACAGTCTGACTCTGGTGCTTAAGAGGGAGTACAGTGGCACAATCTTGGTTCATTGCAGCCTCAACCTCCCAGGCTCAAGTAATGCTTCCACTTCAGCCTCCCCGAGTAGCTGGGAATACAAGTGCAAGCCACCATGCCCAGCTACTTTTTAAATTTCCTTGTTGAGAGAGGGTTTCATCATGTTGACCAGGATGGTCTCAATCTCTTGACCTCGTGATCCACCCGCCTCGGCCTCCCAAAGTGCTGGGATTACAGGCCTGAGCCACCGCGCCCGGCATGAGGATTATATTTCAACGTGAGATTCGGGTGGGGACAAATATCCAAACTGTATTAGCAAATTAGGAAATGGCTTTTAAGCAAAGATCAAATGCAGGGTCCTGCCAGAAAAACCATGGTCTAAGATGAATCCTTAGGTGTGACTGTAAGATTCCAAAGAGATATAAGGTGGCCTCTCAGAGTACCACTGAGTCAGACAAAAGGCCTGCTCTATAAAGGTGCACCCTACAGTATCTCTCAATCAAAGGAGAGTCCATTGTCCCTCAGCTGTCTGCAGAAGCCAAAGGTAGGGAAGGGCTTGTCTCAAACAGATTTGTGGGTGTTGCATTTGTCTAATGGAGCAAACCCCAATAAAATTCACAGAAAATCCAGTTTTTAAGAGAATTGTATATACAGAATCCTCACCAGCTTAGACTAAAAGAAACAGAGATAATACAACTTAAAAAGAAGACCTTTTAGTCTTTTTAGTTCTTTTTGTGGGAGGGGACAGGATCTTGCTCTATCAATCAGTCTGATAGTGCATGCCATCATGGCTAATTTTGTTTTTATTTTTTGTAATGATGAGGGTCTCACTACGTTGCCCAGGCTGGTCTCAAACTCCTTGGCTCAAGTGATCCTTCTACCCCAGCCTCTCAAAGTGCTGGGATGACAGGCAAGACCTACCATGCCTGGAAAAAAAGAAGACCCTCACATTTCTACTGGCAAGAAGCGGGCTG